AAAATATTTCAAGCAATGAAGTTTTATGGAAAGACGCATAAATCTGGACAAAGGAAGTGGACAGGGAAAAATTAAAGATAACGAACATTGCTAGAACTCTAATAAAAATCTACAAACAATGCACAACTATAAACAGGGCATAAAACACGGACCTGTATATATTCCAGAGGTGGATTAGGTGCCTAGGAGGAGTAAGCAATCCCTTTTGACTGGTCACACTCGCCTTAGGAGCTATGCATTAAACAAGTAAACAAAACAAGCAGTAGTCAAAGTAAAGATAAAAACACACGCCTGACAAAATGATAGGAAGGGAACATTAAAAATTTGACCCTAGTTTCTATACTAGGGGCTTTTTGGTTAACGAGGTCACACGATTTACGAAATGCTTACTTTAGTTAAAAGAGGTTGTTGAAATTTTCGAGTTGGAACATCAACATATCTGTCTAAAGCCTGTAAGTTGTAACAATTTGAAAAGTGACCGTACTAATGCAATACTTTTAATTCTTGAATAAGCTGGAAACTTTTGCACCATGTGCAGGTGATATACATGTAAACTAAACAACTAAACTAAAGGAGAAGTTGACAATGTAAGCCAAAAGATTATATCGTTTGAATTGCAATTTAGTAGTTCGTTGATCCTTACCCCGGACTCCATGTTTTATATGCAATTTTCACTGATTTGCATTGTGTGATGAATTTTTCTTTTTATTATTTCAAGATCAAACACTGTTTAACAGTGTCTCCCTTTCTTGATATCTTTGTAACAGTTTGAACGGATTTATGACATATAATCAAATATGTTCTATTTGAAAGTAATTGTTACATAAAAAGCAATTAATTAATATTAGATTTTAAATTTTCAATAGGATTAAAAATCCTTTGAGATCAGTACAACATCTGTAATTCTATTATTTTAAACTTTTTTTTCAATTGTTCACTTTGGATTGATTCTTCAAGCCTGGAAAATATTTACACTATTTCAACCCTTCGCATAAAGCGGATTTAAAATGCTGCAATATAAAGTTTAAAAAAACCCAAAGCATTGAAATTTTCCGTAAAACGCTAATGACATACGGATTTGTCTCTCTTTATATATACATGTATTTGTAAATTTCGGTTAACAATTCCACCTCACCCCACAGGTGCATCTCCCTATACAGTGAAGCTTCACTCTGGTACAGAATTAAGGCCTCAACAAACTTATGATTTAAAAAATGAATTTAATATCCATAGCTGTATCATAATTATAAAGTACATGTAACTGTAAATGAGTTCTCATTTCATTACTAGCCATATCTTGGGTAAAAATCAAGGAAAAAAAAACTCTGGCAGAAAGATCTTTCCTGATAAAGTATTCAATATTCTTGCTTGGAGACCACATATTCGGAATAAACTTATGTCAAAATTTTCTTTTTGAGTCGCTTGATTACCTTCATCACCTGCAAACGGGTTTATATTTTTCGGTTGATTCGATACGCAAGATCATGATCTACGTACAATTTCTAAAACGAAATAAATTTTTGAAACAAGAGTATCAGCAGTATGATTAACATCATTTCGTAGGATATGACCTTGTCAGAAAATGCTATTTTAGCGTATAAAGAAGAAAACACTTGCAACTCATTTATATCGTACGAATTTCCATTCCTATGTAGATACGATATATCCTGGTATTGAGATAAGATAAATCTGCACATTTTTTATACCATATTTTACGGAAAAAGACGTTATGAAAACAACCAAGCTTATGATAAACTGATGACTGTTACTTTTCTATCGTCAACTTCCCTTATTTATGCAGCAATATACCTTCATCACCTGCATACGGAGTTTATATTCTCAGTTGATTCGATACGCAAGAGCATGCTCTACGTATTTACAATTTCTAAAACGAGGTCAATTTATTGACAAACACGATAAAACAAGAATATCATCTAGTTTTAAATCCATTTGGTATGCTTGAGACCTAAAAATACATTAAGGTCACTGACGTTTTTCATACTAATTGTCCATTATTCTACACTGGATTGACGACGGATATTTCTGACTTGAAAAAGACGCTTATTTTTATTTTCATGTCCTGTTTGCTCTGCTCCTAAGAATGGACTTTGAATTAAATACTTGATGACTTTAACTTTTCTATTACTTATACATTAAATTGACGATTATTTCCCGATCATGACAAGCAGCACACGGTATCAGCAGGGGATTACATCTACATGGCACTTGATCCCATCTGATGTTTTGGACGTGTTTGCTCTGCTCCTGTTTTGTTTTGTTTAATGGAATCTTGATCTTGAATACTGTATGTTATCTCTATATATTTTATTGTCATTTATAACGCAGCTATGAATAATATACAGGTTTGTATAATATCAAATTATGTTTCTTTACAACATATTATAAAAATATTGTTTTGTAATGAATTGCCTCAAAATCACATTGCTTATTACTTATAAGCAATGTAATTATGAGGCAATTCAACCACGAAAATAGATAAATTTAATTGAAAAGAGGAGTTTATGATGCTTCCAAATCATGTACATTTTAAACACAATATGTCTCTTTCAACGTTTTCAACAAATTCATAGGTTATTTCTTTTCCAAATAGAAATCGTAAAGAACAGAAATTTGATATAAAGATTGATAATTTGAATGTATAAAAAATTAATCTTGAAATAAAATCAAACAAAAATATACAAATAAATAAAAATTTAAATAAAAGATGGAATTTTTCATCGTATTTGCTGTTTGTTGAAAAATATTCCAATATATATATATATATATATATATTTAAAATAAATTGTAAACTCTTCATTATTATGATAATCGCAAAATTTGGAAATAAAACACATCTAAATACAGTGTATATGAGATGAATGGGCGATGCCTGTCTAAATAACCTTCAAGAGACTAATTCAGTGTCAAAACATTTTGTCGTTTTTATATCACCACTTCGTTTACCTGTCTCTGTGGCGCAATCGGTTAGCGCGTTCGGCTGTTAACCGAAAGGTTGGTGGTTCGAGCCCACCCAGGGACGATAGGTTAATTTTTTGTATTAAACTAAAGAAGTTTATATGAAACGAAGACAATATCAAGATTTTTACGTTTAAAATTATGGCGATAACAAAAGTTAGCAATACTGAAAGTTCATTGAAACAATACAACTCTAGATCGAGAGTAGAGCAAACACGAACCTATGAAGATAACTTTAAAAAAAAATAGATAACAAAGAGCACCTAATACCATTATTTTTGAACTGTGATCTTTCAGCTGAAGACACTGTCATTATGATATCTATATGATACCAGTATATTTTATATATAAATCTAATACAATGTATACACGATGTTGAAGTATTACACTTATAAACTAAAATAATAAAGTGATTGATTAATACTGAGGTGCAATATGAAAGTCATCCTTCTTTTTTTCATCGACATATTACCATTGTTTATTAACAATACATCGTCGATATATCTAAATGTCGAGCTGAAGGCTACAACGCTTCTTTTTGCAAAAGGTTTTGCATGCTTGCTAATAACGGTCGAATTGAATATGGGAATTCCAATTGATTGTTTGAATACCTGATCTCATACAAACATCACCATATCCCAAGCATTTTTTAATGAATTCAAATTGTGTGTACAATCAGAATGTTTTTTAAACAAAATAATTAGGCAAATCCAATTATTAATATATTAATATATCACAGAGATTTAGAAAGTGTGGAAAATAGCGAATAAAAACGTGGATTGTTGTAGAAGAAGGCAAGACAGGGCACGGAAACCCAGTATGTGTCCAAGTGGCAAAATATTTATAAATGCTCTGTTTACGTACAGCAGGGTCATTGTCTTTTACTAAACGTGCAAAGGTTTCAAGTTTTCGTTGAACAGTTGAGAGAATTATTCAAAGCATCTTATAATTTTTTTCACAATGCATGAAGACATAACTACAGTATAAATACCAAGATAATGAAAAGAAGTTCAGGTAAATTTGAAAGTAAAATTTACTTTTTGTACACAATATTAATTAAATAAAATTAAATAGTTCTTATATAAAAGATAAATTGTTTTGTAAACACAATTAAAACTTTTAAAGCACTTTAAAACTTTTAAAGTTGTAAATTAAAGTTGTATAATACAAATACTTTGACAATATATCAGGATATAGATTCACTCCTCCATGGCACTTGATTCAACGTCTGATAGGTTGGAGGTCCGTGTTTGCTCTGGTATTGGACTTTGAGCTTGAATGCTGTATCTCCATATATTTCATGTTATATAAACCTAAAGAAAAACTTTTATGTTATGCTTCAGTGTTTACATCATGTTAACGCTTCCAGTGACAATTCACTTTGTCTAATGTCATGTCCATTTCCTGATTATCCAGTAACACCTTTTGATTTCTATTTACTTTACTTTTTATTTAAGGTAATAAATGTAATTAAAATTGTTTTAAGAGTTACATTGATTTTAAATTTTGACTAACTCGTCAAGTTCGCCTCTATACAGGCCACTGATCTGTAGTTTAGAATGTAAGAAAATAGAAAAGTGAAAACTGTTTATCATGAAATCTGTTCAATCCGTGTAACTGTGAATTCCGATTTTGTTTTCATTGGCAGTTTTGTACTTTGAAATTTAGAACTAAATTGAATCCACAAAAATAAGCATTTTTCAGATTTATATGAATAAATGTGGTCCTGTAACCATTTATTTCTTCATTCTACTAGAACCTCCCCGCTACTATCTTAAGCAAATCTTTGTCCCGGAAATAATACGATTAATCATGACCGAGTGGTTCTAAAACTAAGATGGAATTTTATTAACATGTATATTGTCCTTGTATATTTATCCCTTATTCATGCATCACCAGTCCGTTTTTTTTATGGATTGTAAGAAATTCTAAAATCTACACTCTCTGTCACCTGATGATTTCTCAGTTGTGCTTAAAATTTTAAAAATAAAATTGTTTGAATTCATTTTCAGCATTATTTAATATTAAACTGTGGATAAATCAATCGACATCATAGTCAAAATCACCTTGGGATTTTGTTTCCTAACTTCTCCTCTTTTCAATGACTTTTTGATTTTGTCTTCAAAGTCAAAGTCAGAAAAATTAACACTTTTTCCAAAAACCATGCATGCTCTCATGTTTTTGTCACTGATATCTTTCAATCTTAACAAATCGAAATTAATAAAGAAGATGTCATGTGTATTGTTTGATTTATAGTTATTCCACGCGTGCTTCCATTCCCTTACAAAAACCGATTCACTTTTGGTTAAAACTGTACTTGTGAGGAAAAACAAGTATATTCTGGACTTCTTCATACTTTCTATCATGCATTCTTCCATCACACTCCCAACCTCAGAATCTCTAGCCAACATGAATGTTTTCAGACTGAAGTTTTCGAGCATCGGTAGAAACTCTGTACCGACATAACGCAAAACTTCCTCATTTTCCTCGTCTATGGATACATACACGTCATACCTAAAACTGCTGTGTTGCTTTGATCTTGAAAGGCATTTACGAAACACTAAAAAGTAGTGGCCATATTTTGAATATACAAAAAAGACAATAACGAGGAAAACGAGAAAGCCCCCTATAACGAATACAAGGTTGAAGTTCTCGTTTTGATCCTGACTGCAGCCCAGATCGGAGTCTGTGACGTTTTGTATTGGAATGGAATAAGAATTGACTCTACATGTTATACCAAGTCCCTTCAAATCTTTTTCTCTACTGGTAAGCCATTGCATGAACCAAGACATAAGTTCACAATCACAGGCAATCGTGACATTATTTAGGACGACACTTTTGGGGTTTAATAGTTGAAGTCCATTTGGGAGTTTTAGAACACCACGGTTACTGGTAAAATTAATTTTTATGTTCGGCACACGTGATAGCTCCAAGAAAAAGGATTCTTTTACAGTTTTCACTTTGTTGTTTGACAGGTCAATGTAAGAGAGGTTGGGAAAAAAGCTTCTGTTATCTATTGTTTCAACTTGTCTTCCTGACAGCTGAAGATGTATCGTTGTTTCTTGTAGCTTGGAATGACCTTTAACACTTTCAACCATGTCAGTAAAATTAAAAGTAGGAAGTGCCTTTCCATTAAAATTTTCCGTGCAGTCAATGATGATTCGAAATTGACTTGATTGAAAAACACACTCACAGTTTCGGGGACATTTAGGTAATTTACAAACAAGTTCATCAAAACTATTGTTATAAACAAAGCTTTTTACGATGGAAACGTTTTGTAGATTGGCTGGATATGAGCATGTATATCCCAAAAAATCGCTGTCAGTTTTAAAGGTGTGCTTCACATTTCGGAGATTCCATAACATTTCTTCCAAAAAGCAATCACACACGATTGGATTTGATATCACTTGAAAGATGAAACGGTTGAATATAACTTTCCCCAGAAAGCTGTATCCTTTTCCAAGGTTTAATTCTTCGAAACTGGGAATTTTGTCAATGTTGTTAAAAGATAGGTCAAAAAATCCTACTTCTGAAAAATTGTCTTCATATTTTATTGGGTCATCTGCTTTATTCGTGAAACTGGCAATTTTATTGCCCGCATAAGAAATGTTACAAAACGTTTTAGATAGTAGAAGATTGGAAAGATCTAAAACAAGTATTGAATTATGTGAAACGTCTAGGTTATTCAAGCTGAGGGATTCATCATTAAATGTTCCAGGTTCAATGTAGGAAATTTCATTAAATGACAAATTAACATCCCAAAGTAAAGAAAGTCCATGGAAAAATGATTTGTAGATGTCCCTTATTCTATTGTGCGACAAGTCCAGAAACGTTAGTTTCTCTACACACGAGAAGTTTCTCAGAGTTTCTATTTTGTTGTGTGTAAAATTTATTGATACTGTGAATGGAAAATCGCAAAGATTTTCAGGAAGCATTCGTAGAAAACTCTTTGTCACTGAGATGTAATAGTAATCGCTCTTCTTCTTATCACCACTAAATAGCACATGACTATTTCCTCTCCGAGAAAGGAACTCTGGGACTAGTTCATTAAGCTCTGATTTTTGCCACTTGTATACTGTTGAGCAAGCACACACTGTATCTCTCCGCATTTCACAGTAAACAATGTTTGTATTTACTTTGTAGCAATTGAAATCCGTTCTGTTATGATCTGGAAGAACCATATCTGTGTATAATATTTCCCCAGACGAGATGTTCGTTGACGCACATCTTTCCACATAAAACTGTCCATTTGTTATCCCCATTAACAGGAAAAGTGATAAAATATACGTTGACATTTCAGGAAGGACAGGACGTGGTATTGAGACCCGTACAACTTTGTTCCTGGCTTTCTTTAAAAAAAAAAAGAATCTCTCTCTCCCCTTCCCAAAGGGACAGTCTTGTTCGCCTACTAGGCAAGTTTGGAGATTCAGTTATTTTAAATGACGCAGACAAGAAAGAGACAGATATATACTTGTATTTTAATTCGTGGAAATTGTAAAGAGGCGCAGAGATTTGACACGGATATTATTTAGGGAGCTGATAAACAGTTCAATTTCAACGAAAAAATAATAATCCTATTTACATAAAAGAGTTTTGAAACAAAATATTTATTTACTATTGCATAAGACTAGGGTGAGTGTTTTATCTTTTACACAAAAGGAGAAAAAATACCGCAAAGGTAGAACATCTCATCGATATCGTATCTAGCAAAAATGCTCTGAGGTCTCTAGAAAATATTATATACAAGGCCAAAAAAAAAATACCTTTGTTTCCCCTAACGCGACCGACCCAACTCAAACGCGCCGACTGTAAAGATTTTTTAAATAAGATGATTCAAATTTTTTTTTTATTGTCAACCAAGTTTTATTAAATACAATTTCATCAAAATCAGTTTTGATCAGAACTGCCGACATTGTTCCACTGTGATGTTCAAGCATTTGATGGAAACAAAATAGCGTCCAGATGTGAAGTAGAAGTATAGTTCTTCCTAAAACAACGGCTATGTCTCAATCTTATGCCTTTAGCTAACTAGAATTCTTCACTCTTGAAACAATTTGATAATAAAATTTACCATGACTAATTAAGAGTGTTTCGGAGGTGTCTTGGCGTCTCCATGTGAGTGAATAAATTTTCGAAAAGGACGGTAAACAACGAACAAAGAAATCTGTCTGTTGAATTTCAGGTATACGTAATACATGGAAAGGCCAGCCTCATGAGCAGATGAGGGGCCCACCTAATGAACACATCATTCAAATTCGCTGCATTTTATTTAATTTGAGTTTTGATCTAATAAACAATTCATCTATGTTCCTATGTTAACTACTAGTATATGCCATTATGGAATCATAGGAGTTGTTGTAACTATGTGTGCATATTCATCATGATAAATATAATTCAGTTGTCCTTTTTTATGCCTTCATTTACGGGTTAAACTTCGTGACTATGACATTGTTTTATATAGCATTTTCATCATTTGTAGATTCGGTTTGGTTCATTTAAACATTGGGATCTTTTTGAGCCAGCATCTTTTGCGACACAGGACAAAAGTTTTTATGGTCCCTTTTGAAGGACCGTTTTCAACGTTCCTCATTGGTATTTAAACCTGCGACTTAAAATTAGCCACTTACGTCTTAACTCCAAAGCAAAATGCTCTAGAACCACTGTAAATCTCATGGTCCTCAAAAAAGTACAATGACTGTCTATAAGCACTGGAGGATGATTGAAGGTTTGAAAAAAATATACTCGGATGTCCAGTCTTTGCATATATGAGAATCTTGTCTTGTTTTATTCGATTTATATAAATGTACTCTGGCGTGAGATATTTCACAAGTTCATCTAAATTACAGTTGTGAATTAATTAATCACGAATTTTGCTTTTAAACGGCATATATATGTATGAAACCTAGCATTTTGTTCACAAATCACTTTCTTCTCTACTTTTCTTATTTATAAATGTTATTTTCTATTAAATTTTAGAATGCATTTTTAAAGCTGCTGTCAGAAAATAAAATTGTTTACCTACCTACCGACCCAACTTGAAAATTTTGGGTCGGGTTAGGGAAACAAAGATATTTTTAATTCCGGCCCAGAGTAAAAGGCGTTTAAAATCCCAACATTTAAACAGAAATAAATTGAGAAAGTATTTTTCGAACTATTCATATCGTCCATTCATATAATACAAATCAGGAGCAGAGCAAACACGGACCTCTAAAACATAAGAGATGGGATCAGGTACCATGAAGGAGAGAGCATCCCCTTCCGACGGTCACACCCGGCGTTTGCCCCTTGTCATATTTGGGAAATAACAGAAAATAAGTCGTCTATTCAGTGTGTAACCCATGGCTTTTCAATTAGTATGAATAACTCTGTCTGTATATACTTGACTTAACGATAGATTGCATTTGCTGACAAGGTCATTGTAACGATCATAGAACCTCCGAAATGATGGCTTTAAAGGTGCATAGACACAGAATAAAATTATAATTTGTGAAAGTGCAAGGAGGTGTCAATCAAATTCGACCAGAAATTCGAAGTTTCAATAACTTCGATATGAAATAAGATTTTTATATTTCCTTGTGAAATGCTATAATTGCATTATATCGACATAGTAATTACAATAAGTTGTTAATTGACAGGACGTCCATCTAAAATTAATGTCGAACTGAGGTCACAGTAAATGTGTTTCTTCTTTTCATGTTTAGGTTTTTAGGTTATTATACCTCAAATGAATCGGGATGCAAATGATGTCCGTGGAAATTCCAACAGATTGTTCGAAGACCTGGTCTCCAAATAGATATTGTCTGAGATATCAAAGTATGTATATTTTAAATTATCGAGAGAAAATGATGTATAAAGTGTTCAAAAGTCGTAAGTTTTGATGTACTTGTTATAGGCTTTTGAGAAATTTGAAAATAAGTTTAATCGTGTACTGATCAATAGCGTACATATATATACTCAGACTAATATGTTTATTTCTTTTAATCTTGAAGAAAAAAGTTTTTTTTTTAGGATTCTAGCAGAAAAGTGTATACTTTTTCTCACTTACAAGGTACGTTTAATGTCCATCATTTTTTTTTTTTTAATCTTCTTGATAACTTTTCTTTAGTACCCGAGCAGTTTGTCACATGTATATTAAAATAACGGTTAGATTACTGTAAAGTGATGTTCATTTGCCTCTTGCATCAATTTGATCATTTGAATGGTCACATATTGATACTATGCCCATTATTTAAGGAAATTGCTCGACATATATGTACATGATAAGTGCGTGTTCATCTGATAAGTAAAAAAGAAATGCGTATATTTCGTATTCGAAGAATTGAGAAACAATGTTTTAGGTGAAAGAGGCCCCAATATCTCTCCTCTTACAGCATTGCATTTCCGGGAATTACGTAATGTGTCTTCATGGAACATTAAAGGAACTACTTATTGTTGTATGAGAGGTAGAAACAGGTGCTTAAATACATAGATACCCAAATATCTTAAACATACAAAGAGGATATAAAAGGCATACTTAACGTTTAGATAACTGTGTCAAGGTATAAAGCACTCTTCCAAATTCAAGGAAAACTAGATGCTGTCATGAGACAGTAATACCCGCACTAAGGTGTTTGCCTCTAAATGCACACTTCTTCATATTGGGCTTTACCAAGGAAAAAGTCAATATAATTCAATAATTTACATATTACATGTTTTATCAAATTGAGCATAATATGCTCAGGTGACCATGTGACCCATGGGCCTCCATCTAATAAGTATTTCATATCCTTAATTCATTACTAGTCTGAATTAAACAACAGAACTAATTAATGATGTAAATAAGGTTTGATAAAGGGGGGGGGGGGTTATAAATTTTTGGCACATAATTGGAACTTTTTAAATCTATTTTCTCATGTCTATAAATCAACAAATAATATTATTCAAATTAGTGTAAAGAGTTTTTGATGAATTTTTCAAAATGTGCAAAGTTTATTTATATTTGACAAGGCAGTTCTAAACTTCTTGAAAGCTGCCATATATACACAATCAATTTAGTCAACCCCCACCCCTCTCCCATCAACACACACACACAAACACACCTAATTTGCCTGTTTTTGGAAATAGGCCTAGATGGAAAGTTAAGATAAAACATCTTTCGTAAGTTATAATTTTCAATTTGTTCTTGCACTATACATGTATTTGAACACCTGCATCACATTGGGCTTCCGTCACGTACCCAACTTAAGTACTAGTTTTACCATTGGCATTATCATTTTTAGATTTCACTGCACGTGCAGTAGGCTACTAGTGTGGTATACACATCATTGCATATAGGAATTATTTCATTTTGTGTTTTAATTGGATTATATTTCATGAAGATTACTAGTCCGAAAAATCTGACGTTTTTCTGGCTTTTTTACGATTTTGATATTTTACATGCCAGTTTTCCTGGCATGTAAAATATCAAAATCGTAAAAAAGCCAGGAAAACGTCAGATTTTTCGGACTAGAAGATTACAGGACCTAAATAATGACAATCAGTAAGTACAAAGTTTTGGTATAAATTTGGGTAAAATAGTCTGAAATGCAAACGGTTAGGTTCAAGTTTAAAGGATCAAAGGTCATCCGATGCTTTGACATTCTGAAGAGTTATCCCCCGTTATCAACGTTACATTCCGTTACAAGATCCAGAATTTTTTTCTGGGACTGGGAGGGAGGGGGGTTTCCAGACCAGAATTTCCTGAGAAGCTAAAAAAAAAAAGTTATGTTTGGGTCTGTTTTCTATGGTGGAGGGACACTTAGGGCATACAAAGTCATTTTTATTTCCTCCAGTATATATTATAGTCCTGCAAATTCCAAGGGGGGGGGGGGTGGGGGGGTGAGAGGGCGATCAGCCAATCCACTCCCTGTCCCTGTAATGACAAATGATCATGTGACTCCTAAATAGTTGGAAAGTTTTTCCATTTGACTCTCCATAATTTTGTTTCTTGTGTTATTATGTTATGTAAATTTAATGGTATAAAGGTTATGAATTAACCCCTGGAGGTCATTCCCACTCCTAATGAGCTGGAAATGTTCACAATATGACTGCATTAAATTAAATAAAAGTGCATCAATGATAAGATTACTTG